GAAAAATGCCTGTTCAAGACCTTTGCCCATTTCTTCACGGGACTTTTTGTTTTGTTCTTGTTGAGTTTCTTGAGCTCTTTACATATTCTGGATATTAATCTTTTATCATTTGAATAGTCTGCAAATATTTTCTCTCATTCTGTCAGCTGCCTCTTCACTTTGTTGAGTGTTTCCTTTGCAGTACAGAAGCTTCTCAGCTTGATGTAATCCCATTTTTCCACTTTGGCATTCATTGCATGTGCTTCTGGGGTCTTTTCCAAGAAGTCTTTGCTCATGCCAAAGTCTTACAAAGTTTTCCCATTGTTCTCCTCAAGTAATTTGATGGTATCAGGTAATAGATTTAGATCCTCTATCCATTTTGTGTTGATTTTTGTATAAGATGTAAGGTATGGGTCTTGTTTCATACTTCTGTATACAGAGATCCAATTTTCCCAGCACCATTTGTTGAAGAAACTGATCCAGGGATTTTAGTTCCTTTGTCAAAGATTAGTTGGTTGTAAATGTATAGATTGATTTCTATTCTGTTCCATTAGTCTACATGTCTATTATTGTGCTAGTAGCAGGCTGTTTTGATTATAACCACCCTGTTATATTTCTTGAAAGCTGGTATTGTGATGCCTCCAGCTTTGTTTTTCTTGTGTAAAATTGCTTTAGTTATTTGGAATTTCTTGTGTTTCCATATGACTTTTAGGATCATTTCTTCAAATTTGAGAAGAATGTCATTGGTGTTTTGATTTGGACTGCATTGAATCTGTAAATCACTTTGGGTAGAATATTTATTTTGATGATATTAATTCTTCCAATCCACAAAGAGAAATTTTTTCTTCTTTTGTGTCTTCTTCTATTTATTTCTTTAATGTTTTGTAATTTTCATCACAGAGATCTTTCACATCCTTGGTTAAATTTATTCCAAGGTATTTAAGTATTTTGTGGGCTGGCACTGTGGCAGGTTGGGTAATGTCATCACCTGCAGTGCCTGCATCTCATTTGGGTGCTGGTTCAAGTCCGAGCTGCTCCTCTTCTAATCCAGCTCTCTGCTATGGCCTGGGAAAGCAGTAGAAGATGGCCCAAGTTCTTGGGCACCTGCAACTGTGTGGGAGACCCAGAAGAAGTCTGTGGATCCTGGCTTTGGATTGGCACAGCTACAGCCGTTGCAACCATCTGGGAAGTGAACTAGCAGATGGAATACTTTCACTTTCTTTCTCTCTCTCTCTCTCTCTCTCTCTCAGCCTCTCTGTAATTCTGCCATTCAAATAAATAACTAAATATTTTTTAAAAAATTGTAGCTATTATGAATGGGACTGAAACTTACAAGTTCTTTCTCAGCCATGGTATTGTCTGTGTATACAAAGGGTATTGACTTTTGGGTGTTGATTTTATATCCTGCAACTTTAGCAAACTCATTCTGTTCCATTGATCTACATGCCTACTTTTGTGCTAGAATTATAGATCAATATCATTCATGATCATAGGTGCAAAATACTAGTTAATTGAATCCAACAGCACATGAGAAAGATCATTCACTGGAACCAATTGGGATTTTTCCCTGGTATGCAGGGATGGTTCAACATATGAACATCAATAAATGCAATATATCATATTAACAAATTAAAAACAAAAACTATATGATTATCTCAATATATGCATAGGAAGCATTTGATAAAATACAACATCCTTTCATGATAAAGATCTTAAGAAAATTGGATATAGAAGGAGCATTTCTCAACATAATCAAGGCAATATTTGATAAACTCAGAGCCATTATCATATTGAATGGGGGAAATTTGGATGCATTTCCACTAAGATCTGGAACCAGACAAGGATGCCCACTTTTATCACTGCTATTCAATGTAGTCCTGAAAGGTTTAGCCAGAGTATTAGTCAAGAAAAAGAAATCAAAGGAATACAAATTGGAAAGGAGGAAGTCAAATTATCCCTGTTTTCAGATGACATGATTCTATATAGATAGAATCCAAAAAAACTCCAATAAGAGACTATTGGAACCCCTAAGATAGTTTGCTGAAGTTGCAGGATATAAGATCAACACACAGCTATCAATAGCCTTTGTACACACAAACAATGCCATGGCTGAAAGCAATTTACAGATTCAATGTGATCCCAATCAAAATACCAACAACATTCTTATCATATCTAGAAAAAGATACTAAAATTCATATAGAAACATGAGACATTGAGTAGGTAAAGCAATCTTAAACAAGAAAAACAAAGCCAGAGGCATCACAATACCAGATTTCAAGACATACTACAGAGAAGGATTTTTTTAAGATTTATTTATTTATTTTAAAGGCAAGTTAGAGAGAGAGAAAGAGAGAGAGAGAATGATAAATGGATAGAGCTATCTTCCATCTGCTGATTTACTCCCCAGATGAGCACAATGGCCAGGGCTGGGCCAGGCCAAGCTAGGAGTTAGCTTCTTCTGGGTTTCTCATGTGGATGCAGGGGCCCAAGGGCTTGGGCCATTTTCCAATGTCTTCCCAGGCACATAATCAGGGAGCTGAATCAGAAGCAGAACAGTCAGGACTTGAATGGGTGCCTACATGGGATACTGGCACTGCAGATAGCAGCATAACCTGTAACACCACAGGACCAGCCCCAAGAAAGTTTTTTTTTTTTTAATAAACTGTAAAATAGAGGGTATTGATAACTCAGTACTGAGCTAGTCTTGTGCTGTCTTTGAACTCAGGCTACACAGTTTTCCTGATCATCCTCAAACCAAAGAGAAAATTTCGGAATCAATTTAATTTGATCAAAGCTCAGCAGGAGGACAAGAGAGAGAATATTTGAGGAATTTTAACAATTGCTCAAAGGTAGTAACTCCTAAGAGGACTGAGGTCACAGAAATGTATCCAACAGGATACAGTGGTTGCCCTCATCTAATTCATGTTGTCTCTTAGTGCAGCTTTGTAAACCTGTATAGCCCTCAACTTTCCCTTCACAAGTAACAAACCTTCGTTATTCTAATTTTATTTATTCTGTTCTGGTGAGAAGACAAAGACACTGGTTAGGATAAGAGACTTTCAAGGTTACAGTCCAGTTCCTTCAAAGAATTCTAGGTAATCACTAATTACTCTCAGATTGAGCCAGGCACTTCCTGTGGATCAGTTAATGGAAATCCTGGATTACAGAGGACAGAACTGAGCTATTTGCTCTGCCAAAGGCATTTGTGTAGTATCCTGTGGAAAAAAGAGGAAAAACAGCTGTGACGGGAGCCTGCTGCACACTGCCCCTGCTAGAGACGCCATTTTCTCTTACTGAAATAGGATCAACTTCTACAACAAATCATTTCTGTTTAAAGAGATAAGATGCCCCTCATGCCAGGCCCTTTGATTAGCCATGAAATAAAAACACTGCCATTTTTAACTATACTGATGATGAGACAGAAAATAAGCTGCCAACATGGAATAAATATATCACAAGACCTCCAAAATTCCCAAGCTGTGAAACTGGGATACAAGACCATCACCAAGGATTGTGGTGAGGAGTTAGTGATAACCAATGGTGTCCTTCCAATCAAGGATAATATTTTCCCGAGATAACGAGTATTTCCCATTTCTCCACCTTGTGGTGGTTCTAGTGCTCTGCACACACACACCCTCCCCACATTAGCCTTGTGGAACTTCTTCCCTCTCAGCTCTTACTCCAAGCCCTTCTCTCCTCTCAGGCTATGGCAAAGATTCATGCCCACGTTTCTCCCCACTTAGGGAAACATCTACTAAGACTCCATCCACTTGGCCGGTGCCGTGGCTCACTAGGCTAATCCTCCACCTAGCGGCACCGGCATCCCTGGTTCTAGTCCCGGTTGGGGCACCAGATTCTGTCCCGGTTGCCCATCTTCAAGGCCAGCTCTCTGCTGTGACCAGGGAGTGCAGTGGAGGATGGCCCAAGTGCTTGGGCCCTGCACCCCATGGGAGACCAGGAGAAGCACCTGGCTCCTGCCATCGGATCAGCGCAGTGCGCCGGCGCAGCGCGCAGACCGCGGCAGCCATTGGAGGGTGAATCAACGGCAAAGGAAGACCTTTCTCTCTGTCTCTCCTCTCTCTCAGTGTCCACTCTGTCAAAAAAAAAAAGAAAGAAAGAAAGAAAAAAAAAACACTAGGCCTCTGCCCTTTCTCCCCATGACTGATGGAAGAAGAGATGGTCTTGGCGACAGTGGGCCCGAATCTTGGCTGAGAAATTATCATCTCCTGTTTACGAACAATGTGACTGAAATGCTTAGGAGGTCAATGACTTGCCAAATAGACCACACACAAGTGGCAGTAGGTGAGCTAGAGTGTAGGTTTTTACTTCGTAAGACAGCATTGTCCACATTGTCCACACTAAGCTTTGAACCAGAGGCCCGAATAGTCTCCATTCCTCCGAGTCTGTGCGGAGAGCCAGAAGGATACTACCACCCCTCAATTTTTATTGCTTCAAATCTCATCCACAGTTTTATTTCACAACATCAAAAAAGCTTCTATTTTTCATTGTAGTGGCTTTCAACTACCTATAAATTGACATGATGCCACCCTTTGCTATGGGGCAGCTCACCAGGCCGGTACAAGGTCACCATCTAGTGGTTACAGCAGTAACTGCAAGCTACACAATGCACCTTAGATTTTTCTCAAAGTGCCCCCCACCCAGTTCTGTCCGCAAGTCTCCTAACCCCCCCCCCCAAGTTATTTTCAGCAAACTCCCAGGAAGAATTTACAAATGCAATAAGGAATTTACCATTACATAAAACAAAGAGTAACTTTAAAATTATTTTTCAGATTTAGGCATCTACTAAGTCCATACACTTAGACTGATAATATGAGGGGGCTTCAAAAAAGTCTGAACTTTTACAGGTAGACAGAGTTAATTAGGCAAAAAAATTGGACATGTGCCTTGCCTGAGCTAAAACTATGAAACAGTCAGAGGCAAATTAGCAGTGGTGCCAGGTTTGATCATTTCATTGGAAACCTAGAAATCTAAATTATGCTTATTATACATGGAAAGATTACCTCATCAAATTGATGCTCAGTGAGTCTAAAAAACAATCATCAGGTCTCATGTTTGTTCATATTTCCAATATTAATTGCTAATTTTTAATTTTGCTTAAATTTAATCATGCTGAACAATTGATTTATCCATCCTTGGCTTTATATATTCATTGAATAAACCTTTCAGAGTCTCTGGGGCTACAGCTGGTTTCTGGGGTAGAGAAATATGATGTCATAATTATCCTTAAGAAACTTACATTCTAGCAGAGCAAGGAACTGTGAAACAATGAGAGAGATGAGAGCTAAACATAGCAACCCAGACGGGGTTCCATGTGGAAGGTTCTATGGAGAAGCGTTGGTCGGAATCAGGCCAAACTTCACCAGCAGGAGCTGCTTAGATTGAGACTTGCAGGATCAGTGCTTTTCCATCAATAAGAAGGATATTGCAGACAAAAGGAAAAAGAAGTGCCCGGAGCATGAGACAACAGAACGCGATCTCTTGGGGCAACTGCCAGTCCACGTCATGATAAACAGCTCCTACTTTGGACAAGAGTAAGGGAACGAAGCCATTATCCAACCTGTACAAAATTAGCAAAAACTTGCCAGTTTCTGACATTAGCTTGTGTGATATGTCCTCAAACAGCCAACGACCGTCCAATGTGGATAAAACTATGCATGAATCTATTCCAAAAAGCATATACTGCTGGTAAACTTGCAGACTAATGAACTGCCTTTCACAATCTCACAATTTCTCCAAGATCTTAAATTATTATACCATGAACATGCCCAGTTTTCCCAAGTCAGCCATAAATTTAGTTTGTTTTTTTTTAAATCACAGTCTGTGCAGCATTTTGTTGTCCTCTGACTGTTTGTGTTGTTACCACAGCAACGTTTGCACAGATAAATTTGGCACAGAACATGCGACACTTCTGCAACATGGCTTTAGGAGGTGTTTCCTGGCACTACTTCCAGCAGAAGAGTTCAGGAGAATGTAACAGAGCCACTGTCTGAGCAGGAGTCAGAGAAGAAGAGGGGGCCACACACAGGGCTGGATTCGATCAGGGCGCCACATCTGCCCTGTGGCAGCTCATAGTTCTTCCTGGAGAAGTCTCCAAGACAAACGGTGGGTTAACTGATGCTAATAAGGCCGACATGAACTTGTTCCTCCCAAGGGGAGCAGGCGGTCAGGTTTTCCAACATTATCAACCGTGGGTCACTTTTGCATCAAGAGGTTCAGGGACTTTCCATGAAACATACATGTAAGAAATGCGGGGTTAGGTCATCTCACAGGTAAAAAACAAAAACAAACAAACAAAAAAAACAAAAACAGACTAATGGAGGAAACTCAGATGCATATTACTAAGTGAAAGAAGCCAATCTGAAAGCCCGTATCCTGTGTGATCCCAACCAGGTGGTGGTATGGGAAGGGCAGCACTATGGAGATAGTAAGAACTGGCCGTGGTTGCCAGTGGGAGGGGAGGGAAGGATGAAGGGGCAGGGCTCACAGGACTTTGAGAGCAGTGAGACCACTCCGTGGGACTCCATACTGCTGAGTCCCTGCCACTACACGTTGCCCAGCCCCGCAGCGTGCACAGTCCCAGGCACACCCTAAAGCAAACCGCAGACTGTGGAGGCTAACCACGCGTCCTTGTGGTGGTGTAGGTTCCTCTAGTCTAACAAACGCACCGCTCAGGAAATGGGCGGGGGGCATGGGGCCGTTGGCAGCTCTCTGAACATCTCGCTCAATTTTGCTGTGTACCTAAAACCTTTCTAAAAAATATGTAACCATAGTGCACATAAGAAAACTACGCAATTAGAGGAACTTCCTCACACTGAGCTATGACCCCCATGGCCCCTGCTCTATGTGCTGAAGAGGAACAGTGCCCACGGTGAACAATTACTTAGGAGCCCTGGTTTGCACACTGTGGTGGGAGCAGCAAAAGGAGAAATTGTAGCTCCCTAAATACACAGTTTTGGCAATCTCACTGGAAAAGAGAAACTACAGACAGGTGTGAGACATTGGAAAAGTCTATCTGGCTCATATTTCGTGGGTGCTCCCCTTACACCAGGCATAATGGAGGTTTAGTTGTTGAGCAATAAACTGTGGTTCTCCTCATGCAATTGATGTTCCAGATGGGGATAAAAATGTTAAATCAATTAAACACAAATAGGCACCTAAGTGATAAGTACTATGGAAGGGAACACGTATATGCAATCTAATTAAAGCAGTTTAATTTTGGATCTGGAGTAGAGGCCTTTTCTGGGAAAGTGACATTAGTCCATTGAAAAATCAGGGGACAGTGTTCTAGACTGAGGAACAGTATGTACAAAGACCATGGGGCAGACGTCAGCTGTCAGTTCCCTGGGAGGTGGTGTTGGAGAGGAGAGTGAAGTGGGCCAAGTTCAGCACACAGGGCCTGGAGGACAGGTGAAGGAGTCTGCCTTTCATTCCAGTGAGAATAGGTAGCATGAGAAGGATTCTTTTAAAGATTTATTGATTTATTTGAAAAGCAGAATCAAAGAGAGGCAGAGACATAGAGAAAGCTCTTCCATCCTCTGGTCCACTCCCCAAACGGCCGCAATGGCCGGAGCTGGGCTGATCCGAAGCCAGGAGCTTCTTCTGTCTGAATCTCCCACATGGGTACAGGGGCCCAAGGACCTGGGCCATCTTCTACTGCTATCCCAGGCCATAGCAGAGAGCTGGACTGGAAATGGAGCAGCCGGGACTAGAACCAGTGCCCATATGGGATGTCAGCTCTGCAGGCGGCAGCTTTACCGGCTACACCACAGTGCTGGCCCCTCGATTGATTTTAAGCAGAGAAGAGCCACGGGGTGCTTAATGATTTAACAGTATAGGATTTTAGGTGCAGGTGTTTGGTTCAGCAGTCAAGATGCCACTTGGGATGCCTGGATCCCATATCAGAGTACCTGGGTTCAGTTTCCAACCCTGTTTCCAATTCCAGTTTCCTACTAACATGCACCCTGGGGAGGCAGTAAGTGATGACTCAAGTGTTTAGGTTCCTGTCACCCATGTGAGGGACTTGGATGGAGTTCCTGGGCCCTAGCTTCAGCCTTATCCAGCCCTGGCTGTTGTGGGCATTTAGGGAATGAGCCAGCAGATGGAAAAATCGATATTCCCCCCCCCCACCCCCCGTGTGTGTGTGTGTGTGTGTGTATGCATGTAATAATTTTTTTAAAGTATGGACTGCTGAGAGCCACTCATCAAATTTGCTGATTCAGCCACTGATTCCTTTTCTGGAGAAATCCAAGCTCAGAGTAGAAGGGAGCCACTCGGTTGAAGTTTAAATGTGACTGCAGCCCAAAGCTGCAGCTGTTGGCAGGGGAGGAGGGTGGAGACCTTCATCAGGAAATGGGGCTCATCCTACAGTTACAGGAAGCTTCCTGACATTGTACCAGTGGGGCAGCATCTGTGTGGGGGTGTGGTGCGGACGCTGCAGGAGCTTTTCCATCTTTTAGAGCTTGACTGGAGTCAGCATGAGAGGAAGCTACTGTGCACAGAAAGAACAGAGAGGCCCCACTCATTCCCTGGCATCACCGCATCGTTTTTATGTCCAAGTCTCTGCTGCTATGGTACTGCTTTTCTCCAAGAGCCATCAGTTGCTGTCTGAAGTGGATTCATGCTTGGGCCAGAGGTTCGTTAGTAATCAGTCAAGTTTAAGATAGGTTGAGAGGGCACAAGTGAGTAGGACTAGTAGAATGCCTGGCTGCATTCCTTCACATATTTTTCTAGCCAATGCTCCATTAGGGATCGGGAGACCCCATCCTAGACTTTGCTGTACTGCAGTTAAGCTCTGTGGTCTTGAGTAAATCAGCCACGTCTCTGAGCTCTTTTCTTTATCACCTGGAAGCCGTGAGAGCTGAGCAATACGCTCGGGAGGGCCCTTTGCCATTCTTTCTTTGAGTCTATGTTTCTCTTTACCAATTCAGTGCCTGCCTGGAGATCTCTCCCAGCAGAAATCAGGGTCAGGAGGGGACAAAGGAGAGGAAAACAGGGGTTCTGCAACTGAGCAGCTGCCAAGTTCACTCCAGCTTTGTAACTGTCCTCTGTCAGTCTCTGGAGGCAAGGACTGGGCTTGTTAAAGAGTAGCCCAGGGCTGCGAGGACACCAAAGAGCAGAAGCATGCCACCACCTGCCGCACACCGTTCGTCTCATGTTTAATACTACAAGCAAATCCATGATGTGCAAATCCAATTGGCACAACCAGGGTGGAGAGTGCCACTTGCCTTGGGAGGCAAAGATGCTGAAAGTGCGTGAGTTTAGAATGTCTGGCTCCTGGAGCCAGCTTTTGCTGTAGAGTTTAAGATGATGCTTGGGATGCCTACAACCACATCCAGGTTCCTGGGTTCAAGTTCTGGACATATTCCCTATTCCGGTTTCCTTGCTAATGTGTACCCTACAAGGTGGCAGGTGATGGCTCAAATACTAGATCCCTCCCACCTACATGAGAGATCCCCTGGCTTTGTCCTAGCCCTAGTCTATCCCTGGCTGTTATAGGTTTGAGAGAAGTGAACTAGCAGATGGGAAATGCCTCTTTGCCTTTCAAATAAATAAGTAAATAAATTTTTTTAAAAAAAAAGAAAGGAGCAAGCATTTGGTGCAAGGTCTAAGGTGCTGCTTGAAATGCCTAATCCCATATCAGAACGCCTTGGGTCAAAATCCAGCTCTGCTTCCAATGCCAGCTTCCTGTTAAGGGATATCCTGGGAGTCAGGATGGCTCAGTTGCTTGGGTCCCTGCCACCGACATGGGATACCTGGATTGAATTCCTGGTTACTGGCTTTGACCTGGCCCAGCCCTGGATGTTGTAGGCATTAGAGCATTAGGGAAGTGAATCAGCAAATGGGTGATCTCAATCTTTCTTTCTCTTATTCATTCATTCATTTTCTCTCTCTCTCTCTCTCTCTCTCTCTCTCCCCCCCCCACCCCATTTGTGTGTGTATGTGTGTGCATGTGTCTCAAATAAATCAAAACAAATAAGTAAACTATCTAAATGAATTTGTGGTTCTCAGAAGTCATTGATTATAATAAAATAATACACAGTTGCATTTGGAACTATCCAAAGTTTGGCTTATATAGATTAAAATATCTCCTGCTTCATAAAATGCCTTTTAAGTGGGATTGAATTTTGACACATAGTGTTCTCATACATTTTAACAAATATAATGAGGAGCCAGCAATGTGGTATACTGGGTTAAGCTGCCACCTGCAATACCAACACACCACATGGATACTGGTTCAAGTCCGAGCTGCTCCACTTTTGATCCAGCTCCCTGCTAATGCACCTGGGAAAGCACAAAAAGATGGGCCCACTTGGGCCCCTGCATCCTCATGGGAGACTTGGAAGAAGCTCCTGGTTCCTAGCTTCAGATCAGCCAATCTCTGGCCGGTGCAGTCATTTGGTGAGTGAACCACTGTATAAGTATCTTTCTCTCCCTCCTTCCCTCCCTCTCTCTCTGCCTTTCAAATAAATAAATATTTTTTAAAAATGTATACTGAAGGGTCAGCACTGTGGTGTAGTAGGCTAAGCCACCACCTGCTGTTCTGGCATCCCATATGGGCGCCAGTTCATGTCCCAGCTGCTGCCCTTCTGATCCAGCTCTCTAGTGATGGCCTGGGCAAGCAGTAGAAGATGGCCCAAGTGCTTGGTCCCTTGCACCTGCGTAGGAGACCGGAAGAAGCTCCTGGCTCCTGGCTTCAGCTCCAGCCACTGAGTCCATGTGGGCAGTGAACCAGCAGATGGAAGACCTTTCTTTCTGTCTCTCCCTTTCTCTGTCTATAACTCTACCTCTCAAATAAATAGAATAAAATCTTTTTTTAAAAAGTAAGTATAATCAGAAGGATATTCAAAATAAGATTTGGCTAGTATTGATAATTGTTAATACTGACTGCATGTGGAGTCACTAACTTTCCCTGCTTTCATGTCAGTTGGAATTTTTCATGTTGAAATTTCAAAAACAGAATGAAGTCAGTCACTCTAAAATGGACCCAAATTGGATTTTCTAAATATGTGTCATCCCATGAAAAAACAAGATGGCCATATTGATCATGGATTTGCAAACTCTGTAGCCAAATCTGGCCTATTGACTGCTTTTGTAAGCAAAGTTTAGTTGGAACACAGAATACTTTTACTGTACTGTCTGTGTGTTTTTTTTCTATGATAGCAGAGCTGAATAGTTGCAGCAGAGACCAATTGGCCCAGAGAGTCAAAAAAGTACTCTATAGCCTTGATAGGAAAAATCTGCCAACCTGTAATCTAGAGATTGTAGTTCAAGCTGCCTTTGGCATGTGTGTATCGGGGAGACTGCAAACCCAGTTCTAACTCTACAGCCTCAGCCCAGATTGTGCCACCAAACGGCAGAGGCCAAGCATCTAGTCCAGGCTGTGCAGTCAGGCTGTCTGTGGTCCTGAGAATCGTCTGCATCTGTGCATAGACAGTAGTCACCAGCTACTGAGCATTCAATACATGGCTAGGCAGTCTGAGAAAGTGAGCTTTTAATTTTATTCAATGTCAACTAAAGATGAATTATAAAAATGTCAATAGCCACATATGCTTAGTCATTACTATATTAGAGAGACCTAGACACTTGATGCTTTAGCCAGTGATGAGCTGGTAAATTCAGAAGAAGGTGGACGCACACACATACGCATACACACAGCGAGTTTGCAGATTTCTGTGCTGTAGATATTCCTTGTGGGAATATACCAAAGGCAGAGGTACAGATACACAGGACTGGCTGTAGCAGCTGAGTGCCAGCTACTCCAGCACACCAGGGTCTTGCTTTCCAGATGCGAACTACAAACTCTTCAGCAGCCACACATGATAAAGCCTATATTGTAGCAAAGAAGTCAGAGAAACCAGAAGAGAACAGAGGAATGTCATTTATTTGTGGCCCTGAATGAAGGCAAGAAAAGAGTGTATGAAACTGCCCGGAACACAGGAGGGCTACTAAGGAAATAAGTGGGACCCAGAAGGACAACACAGGAGAGAAGCTTCATTCCTGCACATTACCCTGCTTGCAACCTAGCTCCAACTCTTCTGAGAAATATCAGGGTCAAGCAAACACCTTTCCCTAGGTCTAGGATGTTTGGTGCTTGCCCAGGATGACCAAGAATAAACAGTATTGTCCACTTTCAAACCTGGATATCAAAAGATTCAAAAGGAATTTAGTGTCAGCAATAGAAGCCATCCCAGCAGCCATCCTGCTGCAAACCTACTGCCAGCAAAAGGCCAAAACTGCAAAGGAAAAAGGTCATGGAGGTGCAGACCTGTGAACACGCATGCCCGCAAGAGGTTAACTGGTCACCAGCTCCAGAGAGAAGCAGAGATCTTCTAGAACGGCAGGTCCCGGGCCCCATGTCTTTTATCGCAGAATCATGTAGTGCAGAGATTTAGTTCTTGGGGTACCTTGCCACAGAAGAGGCTGCTCATCTTAAGGTGGGGAAAGAGTGGGATGAGAACTTGAGCTATCTAGTGCAGGACACGATGACAGCTGTGAAGCCAGGAGAAGCAAAAAGAAAGGCATGACAGACAGACCGAGGGACTTGCATGGAGGGGCGGAGAATACCAGGGGAAGCCAAAACTAAATACGAATACAGGCTACTGCAAGGGGCCTTCAAGGAATTCATAGAAAACAGGATTGAAAGGTAAGTTTATTCTGGTGGAAAAAAATTTAAATCTGTATACCAATTCTTTCATAATACACATTTCTGAAAACCCTGTATACTATAGAAAATACTAAAGACTAAGGTACCGAGGGAGGGAGGGAGAGATGGAGAGAGGGAGGTAAGTGTAGCATTTAGTACATATTTGCTGAGCTACAAACACCATGCTAGGTGCAGTGACGGGTAACTAGTGCCCAGCCCCTCAGCCCCTCTCGTACCCTCAGGAGGAGAAAGCTGTAAACAGGAACTCACAGTATGGCATCATGACTATGACACAGAAGGGGACGCTGCAGAAGCAGCATATCTAACGCAGCCCTGGGGGCGCAGGGAAATCTTCCTAGAAGAGATATTGTCACTGAGCCCCAAAACAAAGAATTAGCAAATAGAAACTAACCAGGTAAAGTAAGAGAACAGAGTCCCAGGCAACCGGAAGGGCATATCCAAAGGCCAGGAGTGGAAGATTGCCTTGCTCACTGGTATGGGGTGGGGGTGGGGGAGGTCATGCAGCCCCACCCACCTGGGACAGTCCTGGCTTGCTCTTGCTGTCCGGGTATAAGTATCTATTCCTTACTATTCATAGACACTCTCTGGGAGCATCCCTGTTCTGGGTCAGTCATGTGGTTTCTGTGTTCTCTGACAGAATTTGGAAGATAAAGGAACCTAAAGTGACCAAGACCCATCACCATTTCCCCTAAATTCTATGTTTTCTGCAGCAAAAGGAGCCCAGGCTGACAGCTCACGCCGGGGCTGGTGCCGTGTGTTCTGGAAGGGTGTACTCGCCACAAAGAAGAGAGGCAAGCAGAAGCAGGGGCAGGTCCTGCCCATGCAGACAAAGTAAGACTGAGGGAGAGGTGAGGGTTTCTGAAACTCTGAACAGCTAAGCTCCTGACAGCCCAGGCCCAGCAGGGGGTCTGAAAGAACCCCGCCAGAGAACAACGTCACGGCTATTGGCCGGTTAGCACAGAATTTTCATCCCTCGTCTCAGAAATTTGGAACAAACTTTCGAGGGAATTTAATTTTAGAAAAGGGACAAAGAGGATGAGATCCAGAACCCCTCCCCTCGACAAACACATCACAGGTGGAGAGGCCACTGAAGAACTGAAATTCCTAAAATGTGCTGTTGCCATCACAACGGAAAAGAATATAACCTCTTTATTACTGGGGCAGGCAATTACGTGAGTGCTCTGTGAAACCTAAGCCCTTTTGTGAGTTGGAGTTGATGGAACAATAATGAAAGAGAGACGATTCTTTTATCACCAGAAAATAAGTGTTAGTTTTCAAACAACATTTACACGTCTCAGTGCCTGGGTGTTATTTCTCAGGGACCACACGGAGCTTAGGAAGACATAGTGTCAACCTGCTCAAGGCGACCGAGAGCTGACCTTGCCGTCCGGCTTCATGCGGATAGAGCGAATCTGAAAAGACCAAGACAGGACACCTGAGGCACCCATGACTGTCCTGGCTCACTGGTTCCTGCCACCTCTGTCCCTCGGCAAGACAGAGAAGTGCCTTTGGCACTTTTACATCCTGACTGAACCTTCTTCCCTCCAGTCGCTCGTCCCCAGTGCCCAGGTTCCATGATGTTGGTTCTGTATTGTTCACAAGCTACCTCCAAGAATCACTGGTCCTACCAGTTGCAACCATTCCACTAAATTCTACTAATTCTGATCTGCCCTGCCTTCATGGACACCCACATTGCCACCAAAGGCTCAGGAAAAATACTGGCACTTGAGTGTCATTCTAGAGAAATCTTACTTAGCCAAAATAATCAAACAGGGATAATTGTTTGCTTCTGTTATTTGATTGCCAATTAAATAGAAGATTCAATATCACAGGCAAAATTGGATCAGGCTGTGACATAATACAAAGATGTGTTGCCTTTCTTCCATTGTCTGTTGTTTAAAAAAATCCATGGACGCTTAGAACTTTAAAGCTCAAAACTAACTTGGAAGTCACTTAGTCCGGCCCATTCATTTTACAGATAAGGAAAGTGAGGTCTAGGGAGAATAAATTAACCAAACTATGTATTTCATTAGAACAAAAGGATATTTCCTACAAAAGGAATGTCACCATATGATTGGCACGGACGGGTCCCACTCTGAACAACTTCTGATGACTGTCAGTTTCCTCTTGCTTTTGATGTACAGTCACTTATCAAAGGTCTAACATGTGGGACCCACATGCAGTCAAGAAAGAAGGCGCAAAGGATCAGATGAGAGAGACCTTTAGATAACGGGTCACTCACTGGGTCAAATTTCTCTTAGAAATTGTTTCCATTTGGGTCAACATTATGTTTTCTGCAGGGCTGGAAGGCCTGTGGGAGAAAACTGGACTCCAGTCAATTATTCTTGGCTAGCCAAAAAAAAAAAAAAAAAAAAAAAAGGCAGCAGTCTCTCCTCAAATCCATAGCAGACAGTATGTGGCCAGTAAATGCAGCAAGAGGGACTTCACACAGCAGAAAACATTTAGCACTTGCTGCTGCATTGTAACATCAATCTGCATCACTGCTAGACATGAAAGGAAAATGAGAAATAAAAAATAGGAAAATCAAAAGTCAGAACAATAGGGTTCTGTGTTCGGGATTTTGCTGGGCATTCACCCCTATAACACTTTAAACTAAGAACCAGGTCTTTAATGTCTGCTCATACAAACATGTCCTGTGAACATGTCATCCCAAGAGATACCATGGCCAACAGCAAGATTGTTGGCCTAAAAACGACAGAACCACAAACAATCTGACAGACACCTAAAAGAGAGAAGCCACAGTGAAGAACCAGGGTCCAGCAAGCCCAAACATTTTCTGAGTAGCTTTGCCTGTGTTTATCTAGCACTGAGCAGGGACCCAACTCTTGAAACTCTCTTTCTACCTCCATCCACTGCCCACATACCTATAGCTCTCTGAGTGCCTCTCCAATCCAAACCTCTCATAAGCCCCTCTCCCAGCTCCATCCTATGACTCTTACTCTCCTCATCACTTTATGGGGGTCTTGGGAACAGACTTCACCCCATCTTTATCTTTATCCCTAATATCTAGGTATCATCTGATTCCTAATATCTAGGGATCATTCCATGGAGACTAGACCAGAGAGGATGACCTGAGAGTCTATGGCTACCTACACTCAGAATCAGTCCCTGATTTCAGGGGAAAGATTCCATTCCTGGCCAACAGGACACACTGCCCTCTCTGTTTGAGAAGTCATTTCCCAGACTTCTCAGGTCCCCCATTCAAATAGATTTTTTTAAGATTTATTTATTTGAGAGATACAGTTAAAACCACAGAGAGGGAGAGACAGAGACAAAGGTTTTTCATCTGCTGACTCAATCCCTAAATGGCCTCTGTAGCCAGAACTGGGCTGATCTGAAGTGAGAAACTTCTTCTAGGTCTCACACAGTGGAGGCAGGGGCCCAATCACTTGGGCCATCTTCCACTGTTTTCCCAGGCACATTAGCAGGGAGTTGGATCGGAAGTGGAGCACCTGGGACTCAAACCAGCACCCATATAGGATACTGGCATTGCAAGTAATGGCTTTATTCACTATGCCACAGTGCCAGCCCCCAGATTATCAGCAAGCACAACCCACCATTCCTCAGGATTCATCTGAATCCCAAGGTAACAGTTTAACCTCAAGCCAAGATCCATTCTACTTCTACACGCTCCTAGGGGGGCTGTGCAATGCTGTGGCAAGCCCAGCATTCAGCCTCTGAAAAAGCAGGATTTTATCTCTAAAATAAGATTCATAATAGCGACCTTTCAGGGTTGCTGTGATGATAAAAATGTAATAGTCTATGTAAAATACTCAGCAAGGGTATCTGTTATTTTTATTTTTCATTATCATCTTGGCCACTGACAGGGCTGGTAGCTGCCCTAGCTCTGCTATATCAGAATCATTTATCAGTTGCATTGTTCATCTCATCTCCATAAATGTCCTCTCATCTCCCTTCCCAGGCAGCTCATGTATATGTTTCCTAACTCCCATTGCTCCAGGGTTCAGGGTCTCCCACTTCAATCACTGACGAATATGTGCACGTGGCCACAACAATCTGCCCACTCTACCTGCAACTGAGCTATGAGTCCATACAAAGGAGGTCCCTCCCATCCCTTTTGCCCAAAAGCCCATGGGATCTGGACCCCAAGCTATTGAAATTGCTTAGTTTTGAATGGAAGTTTGTCCAAATCTTCATAAAGGGCTCACATGTCATTCCATTATCAAGAAGCTTGTCTAGAAATGACAATGGTAATGAAATACATTGACGAGAACAGCAAAGCCTAATCTTTAGCAATCGAAATTATGATTTTTCATTAAACTGAGACCCTGTGGAGCAAAAAATTAAACAAACTCCAATAAAAGGATAAATAGGCTTATGATAAAAAATGACAGGTGACGTCTTGCTGTTGGAAGTAATCAGAAGTACAGCCCTCCAGAGAAGGGAGCGTGAGGTGGCGGGAGCTGCGGGAGCGCCTCCATGGGGCATTTCAGTCACCATGTCTTCCCTCCGCGCATGCCTCCTCCTCATCACCCGTCCCAGGCAACCTCTGAGTCATCAGAGCAGCAAGCGACAACGTCTCTGACCTCCAGGAGAGACACAGGGAGCGCAACAGCAACACCCCAGAGGGCCACATCCAGCACTGGATAGCGTGACACCCATTCCTCTGTGCGAAACGCACCAAGGGGCTTGCCGCCCATTGGATCAAGTCCTACCCACTTAGCCTGGCACCCGCAGTCTCCTCCTGGCCCACGCAAGCCCGCTTCCCCCATCGGTGCCCCACTGTGTCCCAACAGCACCTCCCTGATGATGAACCAACTCCTTCTCCACAGCACACCCCTCTGCCCACATCACCTTTCAGCCCTCCCTGATGGCTTGCTTCTCCAGACTCTCGCTGTACTGATATCCAAGATCTGCTGCTGCCCTCCCCCTAACCAGACTGTACATTCATTGAAACACAGATGGGGATGTTTCCATTTCTACATGCCTCACAGTTCCGACCACAGGCTAGACCCATAGTAAGGATCCAATACATGTCACTGAATTGCTAACTTTTTCTGGTAAACAGCATTGAGTGTGAATGAATATATTTCTTGGCAAAAGGGAAGAAAAAAATGGAGAAGAATGAATGTTTCATGAACAGTGACCAGTAACTAAGCTGTACTTTTCATGCTACCTCATGAGTTTTTGATAATTCTGAGATTGTGCCATCCTATTTTATAAATTAAAAAAAAAAAAACTGCACTAGAGTGGGTGTTTAGCCCAGTGACTAAGACGCTCACATGTCACATCAGTGTACCGGATTTGATTCCGAGCTCCAGCTAACGTAGACCCTAAGAGGCAGTGGTGATGGCTCAAGTACCTGAGTTCCTGTCACCCACATTCGGAGACCTGGATTGAGTCCCCAGTTCCCCCATTTAGGGGCTGAACCAGCAGGTGGAAGCTCTTGCTTACTTGCTCCTGATTTTCCCCTCTCTTTCTGCATTTTCCTTTTTCTTCTTCCCCCATCCCCATCCCTCCCTTCTTCCCTTTCAAATAAATAAAAAAAATTTTTTTTGAAGTACCAAGGATACAAATTACACTATTGGCAGAACATACATAATTCAAATTCAGGTTAATCTGCCTCCAAAGCACGTGCTCACTCCAGGAATTTTTCTCATCACCATCCTTGTCACTACAGCCATGCTCATCTGCAGCAGCATTGAGCCATTTCACAGCACAGAGACCTTTCCTGGTCACTCTGTAGCTTCACAGGCTAGAGGCCTGAGTTAAACAATGCGAGACACAAACCTCTCCGTTAGAAGGCACAGTCTCCATGTTTGCTTTGATCCCCCTAGAGAAGGGCCTATCCAACAGGCAAAGAGCACCAGTTCCATCAGACCCCCTACCTCCATGCCTATCCTTCTGCCACTGACCAACCCACTGATTGGGGCAACGGTGAGGACCTGGGCCATTCAGATACACACAACTGAAAGGCAGTCTAAGGAAAATCTAAGTCCTCGCTCTGTCAGATAGCCACGTGCCCCTGGGTGTAACTTTGATCCTCTGAGGCTCAAAAACATGGCATGACATTAACTGTTACATAAATGTTAAAAATTAAGATTCCAGGTTTTCACATGAAAGAGTAGATTCAATCTTCCCCCTTTTGAAGGAAGTATTTAACCAAATAATCAAAGTTATTTTTAAAGTATAATTTTTAAAAAGGATAACATTATAACTCTTGCCCAAATACAAGGTACAAAATGAACATGCATCAAATATTTTATTTAACACATTAATTAATGAGGGAGCCAGTAAGATGTTATTATGAATTCAAAGGAGAATTCAAAGAACACACACATCCAATCAGGAAAGCTAAGGTGAATATACCAAGAGAGGAAGCCAGTAGTCAATTATACTTCATCAGTTAGATTTTATTTAAATTTCTAGCAACAAGAAAAAATTTTTTAACTTTTATTTAATGAATATAAATTTCCAAAGTACAGCTTATGGATTACAATGGCTTCCCCCCCCATAACGTTGCTCCCACCCACAACCCTCCCCTTTCCCACTCCCTCTCCCCT